CGTGTTGATGCTCCTTTCGCTCCCTTCTCCTTTTTCGAATTTTCGTTTTTAGCCGAAATTGATGCCGCCGGTTGTGTAGTTTCGGCTTCAATTGCGCTGGCGGGTCGATGCTGTAACAGGGACAGGAGCGCCTTGACTTGGTCCGGGGTCAACGTCTGGGTCAAGTCCGGGTCAACGGTCGCGTCAGACGAGGCGGCCGTACGGCGCCTCTGGCGCTGACGCGACTGCCTGTGGGGCGCGTGTGCCTCAGGCGCGTGCTCCGCGTCAGTCGCGTGTGGCGCCACGTTCGCCACTGGTGCCACGGGTGCCACTGGCGCAACAGGCGCCACAGGCGCCGAAGGGTGCTGCTGGTGCCGCTCGGCGTTTTTGTTGACCTCGAGCCCGCCCAGCAGCACGTCGACAGCTGTTGGGGCGGACGTTTCGCCGTCTGCCCGGCGCTTGTTGCGGCGCTCGCCCGACATTTCCCGGGCGTTACGATCGGTGTCGGAAATATTCGAGTCGTTGACGACGGTGTTGTTCGCGCGGTTAAGTGTCGGCGTAGCAGCCATAGTCGAGCGGTTGTGGTTGAGAATGTCAGCTAATAAAGTTGAAGGTGAAACGCCTCTCGGTAGAGAGCGAGTTCTAGCCAGCTTGAACGGAAAACTAGAAATGAGCTCGAGGAACTGAGAGTTGCATGAGCCGTTGGAAAATGAGAGACGTGGGTGGAGGGAAATGAGCTCCAACCCACGTTTTGTAGTTGGAGAAGGGCGTTTAGCGCGCTTCGACGATGCCAAATCTGCGTTACAGGCAGCTGCGCTTTCGAAATACGTAATTTTGAAAAACACTTCGTGTGTTTAAAAATTATCATATCTCGAACACACACAAAACATTGGATTCTGATCAAGGGAAATTGCACCTTGAAAATTCATTCTCGCGCACACACACTAGAATGGTTCAACTAAAAAGGCCCTGACGGTTCATCTCTCGCCAATTAAAAGTGATACGCATGGCAGAGGTGATGGTGATGGGGGGGCTGCAGCAGAGCAGCAACCAATGGGACAGCAGCGATGGAGTGAGGGGATGAGGCAAAGCCAGGGGGGAACAAAAATGCCCTGCAGTCTGCAGATTCATCTCTTCTGAGGATAAGCAAAATTCGTCCGATGAGAGGGAGGTGCGCATGGCAGCAGTGGTAGCGATGGGACGGCTGCAGAAACCAATGGGACAGTGGCGATGAAGTGAGGGGATGGAGAGAAGGGGCGGAGCAAATGGGGAAAGCAAGGGGGGAAAGCAAGGGGGAGAGGGAGGGGACCGAGCGAGGGGAGGAAGCTAGAGGGATTGAAGGGAGCAAGGCGAGAAAGAGAGGGGAGGGAATGGAGTGAGGGCAGGGAGCGTGAGGATGGAGTGAGGGGAGGAAGGGAGGAGGGGAGGGAGCGAGGGGATGTAGTGAGGGAAGAAGAGATGGGAATGAGTGAGGGATGAAGCAAGGGGATGAAGCAAGGGGAAAAATCAAGGGATGTAGCAAGGGGGGATGAAGCAAGGGGATAAAGCAAGGAGATGAAGCAAGGAGGGACGAAGCAAGGGGGGATGAAGCAGAGGGATGGAGCGACAGAGGGTTGTACCAAAATGGCACAGAGGGATCATTATTCATCCATGATAAACAGATGGGCTGCAGCGGCCTTACATCCCTAGCATCGCACAGAGGGGTTGAGATTTGATTCTGTGCATGGAGAGGCACAGAGGAAAAAGCCCTGCGGACCAAAGCACAGAGGCACAGAGACACAGAGAGGCGCAGAGGTGAAGAGGCACAGGAAAGTTTATATTTCATCCTATGCACAGAAGGGCTGTGATGTCAACTGAAGCACAGAAGCAGAGAGGCAGAGAGGGGCTGGGACGAGCAATAGTGAGCCCATGAATTGTGTTGAGAGAGGGAGAGGGACGGACAGGCACATATGACTGTGGTCCCACCTCTCCTGTGAGACTGTGCTCTCGCCTCCCTTGGTATGCCATGTTCTTGCTTCTGTCCGAGCTAGGGCTATAGTGAAGCCTTGTGGACCAAGGCACAAAGGCACAGAGGGGTTGGGATGAGCATAGGCTCAGGCACATATGACTGTGCGACTGTGCTCTCGCCTCCCCTGATACGCCATGTTCTTGCTTCTATCCGGGCCTGGGCTACTGCGAAGCGTCTGTCTACACAACACGCCACGCTACAAGGCCTAACATGTCACCGCGTGCACACAGCAGGGATGGCACGAGAATGCTAACAGGTCTAGTAGCTTGCACAGATGCAGAAAAACGACCTGTTTTATCAGAGCGCCACAGATGCAGAAAAACGACCTGTTTTATCAGAGCGCCACAGATGCAGAAAAACGACCTGTTTTATCAGAGCGCCACAGATGCAGAAAAACGACCTGTTTTATCAGAGCGCCACAGATGCAGAAAAACGACCTGTTTTATCAGAGCGCCACAGATGCAGAAAAACGACCTGTTTTATCAGAGCGCCACAGATGCAGAAAAACGACCTGTTTTATCAGAGCGCCACAGATGCACACAACGGGACAGGACAAGGCCTGATTGACCTGATAGTCCGGGCTTGCGCTACTGCGAATCGTTTGTTCTACACAACACGCCACGCTACAAGGCCTAACAGACCTGAGAGTCTGAGTTTGGGCTATTTGCGAAGCGTCTGTTTCAACATCCTGCTTCATTGAGCGCGCCGCGCTACATGGCCTAACAGGCCATCGCGTGCACACGCACGGCAGGGACGCTATGGGAATGCTAACAGGCTTAAAGGCTTGCACGCATCATGCAGAAAGGAACCTGCTTCATCCAGCATGCCACGCTACACGGCCTAACAGGCCATCGCGTGCACACGCACGGCAGGGACGCTATGGGAATGCTAACAGGCTTAAAGGCTTGCACGCATCATGCAGAAAGGAACCTGCTTCATCCAGCATGACACGCTACACGGCCTAACAGGCCATCGCGTGCACACGCACGGCAGGGACGCTATGGGAGGGCTAGCAGGCTTAATAGCTTGCACGCATCATGCAGAAATCTTGCACAAATCTTGCAACCTGATTCATCCAGCACGCCGCACTACAAGGCCTAACGGGCCTATTAGTCCGAGCCTTGGCTACTGCGGAGCGTCTGTTCTACTCAGCACGCCGCGCTACAAGGCCTAATGGATCGTTTCATCGATCCTGCTTCATCCAGCGGTACACGCTACACAGCCTCACAGAACGTCTTGCGTGCATGCACACGGCAGGCAGCGACGCCACGGGAGTCCTAACAGGTGCAATAACAAACCACCACGGCCTAATCGCACACCACCACGGCCTAACCGCACACCACCATGGCCTAACTGCACGCCACCACAGCCTAATCGCACAGCACCACGGCCTAAAGCACATAAAAACGGCCTAACCGCACACCATCACGGCCTAACCTCAAACCACCGCGGCTCAATCGCACACCACCACGGCCTAATCGCGTGCATTTTTTGCACAGATGCAGAAAATGACCTGTTTCATCGAGACAGGCCATTTCGCACACCACGGGACAAGGCCAAACATACTCGCATGCCCTAGCGTGCACAAACTCTCGTTTCCAGAAATTAGTCAGGGGAAATAGAAAATCAATACCGTGACCTCAGGGTGACGTTACTAGGTCTAACAGACGATCGCATAGGCACGCTGGGAACTTTCACCTCTGTCAGCTAGCACTGAACAGTTTTTGAGTCGACTCAAAACACGCACGCACGCTGGCACCCCTCGACTCCGTCAGCTACTGAAAGTCTGAATTTGAGGCGCCTCAGCACTAGCAACCCTCGACAGTGCCAGCTAGCACTGAACATTCTCCACAGAACTTACCGTGACCTTAGGGTGGTGACGTTGCTAGCGGTAACGTTAATGTTGCGTTCGCGCAACGTCTGGTTAACGTTAACGACGAGAATCTGCGATGCGACAGCTCTCGAATCTTTCAGCCAGTACTGAAAAGTTAACCCGTGCGCTAACGCAACGGAACGTTAACGACGAGAATCACCGATGCGACAACCCTCGAATCCGTCAGCCAGTACTGAAAAGTTAACCCGTGCGCTAACGCAACGTATGGGTGGTAACGTTAACGACGAGAATCTGCAATGCGACAGCCAGGCGGTCTTTCCGCATGAGACGGTGTCCAAGCTACCCTTTCAGTCACGACAAGTACTAACACTCTTCCTCCTATCCAGTCGGCGGTGTCTAAGCTACCCTTTCAACAGTCGCGACAAGAAACGCTCTTGAAGTGAGCGAATTTCTGAGACCTCTCAAAAACACACTCACTTCACCGCAGCCCGGGGGTCTTTCCGCATGAGACGGTGTCCAAGCTACCCTTTCATCAGTCGCGACAAGAAACGCTCTTTCTCCTTTCCAGTCGGCTACTTGAGTGGACTTAATCCGGGCGTCTGCGAAAGTACTAGAGAATGGAAACCTGTCGGGGCATTTGCGAGACTGCTTCGGCAGAAGCACATCCAATCAGCGCAATTAGCGCAATCAGTGCCATAAGCGCAATCAGTGCCATTAGCGCAATCAGCGCAGGCATCGCATTTACGTTAGTTGTGAGTGGAGCGTACGGGTTGGCGGGAAAGAAGGAATCACAAAGAGAGCTTTCTGCGAGGGTGGGGTGAAATTGGTTTTGGTTCAAAGGTCACCTTCAAAGAAATGAACATGCGGTACTTGGCAGCCTCGCACACACAGCTCGCCGTGTAACTGAGAGCACACGTGGCATCGCAGGCCCACTAAGCATAAAAGCATGCATCCAACCAGTCAATAATAACGGATTCTTGACCCTCATCAGATATACTTACCTGGGCGGGGTCTATCGGTGATCAATAAGGTCGATGGCCGGGGAGTGGGCTTGCCATTGCACTTCGGCCGGCCCTACTCCTAGCACGCCGGAACTCCCGGTGATGCACGTCATTATTTGTGGCAGCGGGGGCTCGCGTTCGCGCGGCCCCTACCAAAGGAAACTCGAAACGGGATACAATGATGCGTGAGTCCGCCGCGGAACTTCGGAATAGAGTGAACTATATGTACTTGTCTGTGAAATGAACACCAAAGTGATTTGTCATATACACCCACATGGGCCTGCACTTAGAATATATTGAAAGCAGAAATGAGCAGTTACACTTGCAGGAGCTTTTGAGGTACAGTACTTATTGTACACTGATGAACAATAATGTACACTAGCAGCAACATGATCCAAAAGATTTGTTTCAACCGCCACCCTCACCTGGTGTAGCATCTACTAGCAAAACACCAAATATATCAGGCTGACCCTGGCTCAAACCCTCCTGCATGTACACTCCAAACAGGGCTACAGTAGGGTCTCCCAATATTTCTTGCCAAGCTGCTGCATCAGCATTGGAAGAAGCTTCCCCTGATCCTGCTGCATCGCCAGTACTGGAGGAAATTGTGGAAAGGTTTAGGCTGCCCGAACAGGTCCATTCACCAATCCCATCATTCACAGACTGCCATGGGCAAGGCAGAAATAGCCTCACCACATCACTACTCTTCATGCTGCTGCTGGTACTGACCCCGCCGCCGCTGCCGCCGCCGCCGCCGCCACCACCACCACCACTGCTGCTGCTGCTGCTTGCACCAGAATTGTCTATTTCTGCAACATCCTCCATTCCTCCTGCTTCCACCACACCAGCCCCACTCACAACCCCACCTCCACCTGTCCTTAAACCTTCACGCCTTGGTGCACGGCTGGGCTTGGGGGATGGCTTGACAGTGCCCTTGGGTTTGAGCTTAAGGCGTGTTCGAAGAGAATCCACTATTGCGGCTGGGTCCTTGACGAGAGATGGCCTGCTGTTGCCCCCTCTGTTGCTGCCGCCACTTCCATTGCTGCCGCTCCCTGCCCCTTTGCCCTTGTCTCCTCCCCTGCTGCCTCCTCTCCTGCTTCCTCCTTCTATCCTGGTGCCTCCTTTCTTGGGTTCCACTTGTGGGAGGAATGCTGCTGCTTCTGAGGAGGAGGAGGAGGAGGAGGAGGAGGAGGAGGAGGAGGAGGAGGAGGAGGAGGAGGAGGAGGAGGAGGAGGAGGAGGAGGAGGAGGAGGATGAGGAGGAGGAGGAGCTGTCACCGCCTATAGGGATGTTCTTGTAGAGAATGACACTGTAGAGAGCGGAGCTCTGGGTGTGTGCTGTGAGAGTGTAGGCGATGGATTGAGGCTGAGAGGAGGTGGGGCTGGCAGGGATACAAGGGGAATGAATGAGGGAAAGGAGGAAAGTGGGAAGAAGTCGTTTCTCTACCTGCAAAAACAGCTGCAGCTATCACCTCACGTACTTGTCTGGGGTATCCACAGTGAGAGCGAAGGTGCCTGTGGTGGCTGGCAGTGGCAGCACGCTGGTGGGTTTCCAGCCGACTCAGAACACACCAGCACGCTGAGACTGTTAGAGAGAACAGCTATCCCCCACTGTACCTGTCCGGGGTGTCTACAGCCAGGGCGAAGGTGCCTGTGGTGGCTGGCAGTGGCAGCACGCTGGTGGGTTCCCAGCCGACTCAGAGCACGTTTGAGCTTGAGTGCATACACGGTACCGCTACCCCTCTCCCCCCCTCACTGTACCTGTCCGGGGTGTCAACAGTGAGAGCGAATGTGCCTGTGGTGGCTGGCACAACGCTGGTGGGGGCGATTCTCCACCGCAGCGACGAGTAGTGCGCTGGAAGGGGTGTGGATCAATGCAGGGAGGGGGGTGGAGCAAGAGGTTTGGTGCGGTTGAGATAAGTAGAGAGTGAAAGCACCGCGCTGGTGGGGGCGATTCTCCAGCACAGCGACGAGTAGTGCGCTGGTGGGGACGAGAGAGGGGCACGGCGAGGGGCAAAAGGGATTCGTGAGGCGGGTAGAGAAAGCAAAGCGCTGGTGGGGCCGATTCTCCACCGCAGCGACGAGTAGTGCGCTGGAAGGGGTGAGAGAGGAGGCAAAATGGGGTGCAAAGGGCAAGGCAGGAAGTAGACTGGTGGGGGCACAGCGAAGAGCAGTGTGCTGACGGGGGTGGCACGGGGGAAAGGAGGTTGGTGAGGGGGGGAGAAGGGCGCAAGGGGCAAGGAGGTTGGTGAGGGGGGGAGAAGGGCGCAAGGGGCAAGGAGGTTGGTGAGGGGGGGAGAAGGGACTGAGAGCGAAAGCACCACGCTACTCCAACGCACCATATTGGTGAGGGCGATTCTCCACTGCAGCGACGAGTAGTGCGCTGGTAACGGGGCAAAGGGGGGTTGGGACGATTGTTGAATGCACCATTTCTCAAGTTCTCATTCTGATGCAGGACTAGGGAGGGCAGAGTGAGTAAGGGCGGATGTAGGAAACAAAGTGAGCGAGTAAATCTGACACAAAACGAGGTGACTTTTGAGCGAGCAGATCTGACTCAAAAGCAGATCCGACACAGGGCAACCAACCAGAGCAGTCGCCTTGTGTTGAAACAGTGGGCAGAAGAGCATAGGCTCCTAACCGACTCTGCATCTGCTTGTAACGAGGACATACTTGTAACAGCAGCAGCGGACCGAAGCAGTGTGACAAGGAGCAGCACGCAGAGAAGCACTGCAAGCACACACAGAGGGTGAACAGCAAGGACGATGGGAGAGGGAAGGCACAAGGGACGGTGCTTGAGTCGACTCAAAAAGCAGCAAGCCGAAGCAGTGCGACAAGGAGCAGCACCCAGAGCAGCACCCAGAGCAGCATTGCGGACAGGGTCGACACAAGGACGATGGAAGAGGGAATGGGGGAATGGGGAATGGGGAATGGTGAAACGGGGAGTGGTGAAACGGGGAGTGGTGAAACGGGGAGTGGTGAAAAATGGTGAAACGGGGAATGGTGAAACGGGGAGTGGTGAAATGGGGAAAGGGGGAACAGGAAATGGTGGGACAGGGAACGGTGAAGAGGAGAGTGTCTGGCCGTTTCCGCCTTATCGCATATGAAAGAACTCCTTGTGGCGTGACATGTCACGGGGTGCGGCATTCCCGAGCAACCCACGCCGTTACCCTCAAGCAACCCCCTCGGTCCCCCCTGATTCATAACAAGCTTCCTCGGCGTCGAAAGCCAGGTGCGGAGCATGGTGATGGGTGCGGGGAATGGGAGAGCACATTCGCGACGATGGGGAGCATGGAGCACTCACTGCCCTCACCCCCCTCACTCCCCTCAATCCTCTCGCACCTCTCACCCCCCTCATCCTCTCGCACCTCTCACCCCCCTCATCCTCTCGCACCTCTCACCCCCCTCATCCTCTCGCACCTCTCACCCCCCTCAATCCTCTCGCACCTCTCACCCCCCTCATCCTCTCGCACCTCTCACCCCCCTCATCCTCTCGCACCTCTCACCCCCCTCATCCTCTCGCACCTCTCACCCCCCTCATCCTCTCGCACCTCTCACCCCCCTCAATCCTCTCGCACCTCTCACCCCCCTCATCCTCTCGCACCTCTCACCCCCCTCATCCTCTCGCACCTCTCACCCCCCTCATCCTCTCGCACCTCTCACCCCCCTCATCCTCTCGCACCTCTCACCCCCCTCAATCCTCTCGCACCTCTCACCCCCCTCATCCTCTCGCACCTCTCACCCCCCTCATCCTCTCGCACCTCTCACCCCCCTCATCCTCTCGCACCTCTCACCCCCCTCATCCTCTCGCACCTCTCACCCCCCTCATCCTCTCGCACCTCTCACCCCCCTCATCCTCTCGCACCTCTCACCCCCCTCATCCTCTCGCACCTCTCACCCCCCTCATCCTCTCGCACCTCTCACCCCCCTCATCCTCTCGCACCTCTCACCCCCCTCATCCTCTCGCACCTCTCACCCCCCTCATCCTCTCGCACCTCTCACCCCCCTCATCCTCTCGCACCTCTCCACCCCCTCATCCTCTCGCACCTCTCACCCCCCTCATCCCCCTCACCAATAACGAGCTCCCTCGGCGGCGGACGTGCGGTGCGACGCATGGTGATGGATGGGGGGAGCGGAAAGCACGTCTGCGACGATTTCTTATTTGGCCGCGCGGAAGTATCAGGAGTTGGCGGAAGCCGCGGGTGTGGCGGAAGTCTCAGGTGTTGCGGAAGCCTCTGAGTGGCGGAAGCCGCGGGCGTGGTGGGGAGAACGCGCGGCGATGGAGGAGGTGACGACAAGCAGTGGTAATGGGTCTACTAACTGAAGACTCCTAAAGCTAGCGCTTTGACGTCAGCGGAAATGGACGGCCCGTCTGAAATTTGACGGTCGGAAATGCACGGTATAAGAGGTCTGACGGCCGGAATTCGCGCTGAAAAGCAGGCGGCGGCAAGCAAGGAGAGCGCTACACGATGAATCTACAGTATGTGATGACCATCGTGTGACCAAGAATCTGTGCGCCGCGCGATGAATCCAAAAATGAGTGCGCCGCGCGATCGATCTGAACAGTGCCGCACCGCTAGTGCTGGGCTGAATTTGCTTTACTCGTTGAACGGAAAGTTAATATACTTTTTGGTGTTCCGTTGATCATAGTCCGTCATATTCTGTCATAGTCCGTCGTAGTCCGTCATTAGTCTGTCAGACTCAGTCATAGTGGGTCATAGACTCAAAAGTCAACTCGTAATGGTCTACAAGGAGAATGCGAATGCGCGTGAGGTACAGTACATACATTTGTTCGTCAGAGCGAGCAAACTATGCTTCCGTACACCAGATTCTCGATTGAGCTTCCCAACCTTGCCTGACTGTGCGGGCGTTTAAGCGATTATTGTTTCTTGCAAAAATTTCGTCAATTCGCAGCTAGCAAAAATGGGCTTATAAAACACTTGTAACTACCCGTTGACAGTTTGACTTCGGTCTCTTCCAGCTTGACTTCGATCTCCCTGTTACCAATGGTTCATAATCACTGCAGCTTGCTCGGGTGGCTTGTGAAGTGGGTGCAACTTCCCAGTCCTGAAAGCACGTTGGCAGGGAATCAAATATTTTCAGGGCAAATTCGCGCGCAGCAGTTGAGCATCATGTGTACATATACAGTACCACGATAGACTTGCCAGCCAAGCCATCCACCTACCAGCCAGGCAACACAGCCATGACAAAATGGCAACAAATGCACGAAGGATGAAGGCGAGACGAAGGCGTGTTTAGAAGAAAATTGTTGTAGAAATTTGAGATCTGGTACAACTCTAGGGACAACTGAGCATGGGCAGACAGAACCAAGTTGTGGATAAGTCGACACAGAGATGAATTAATTATGACACGAAGTTTCGTGGAATGGTTTTGAAGACACTTCCGCAAATCAGGAAGGTTCGATCACCCCATCATTTCGGTTGTTTGTGGGATGGGTGAGCCGATAGACGCCGCAAAGGTGTGAATTAAGAAAACAGGAATGTGAATGACTAAGGGAAAGTTGGGTACAAATACAAACCCTAGAAAACTGTACCCCATATGTGCTACCCCACTATAGCCTACAGTAGCTCTGTCATATAAATCTGACACACCCCCATAGGCAAAGTGGGGGAGAACAAGGGGTCACAAGACCAGTCAAGCAAAGCAAAGCAAGCTCAGGGTGGATCACAAAGTCACCACACATTCCGAGCACAAGTTCAAGGCCACAAGGCCAGTTCACATGCAGGATTACATATATATATATAAGGCTAGACAAGCAAGAGCACGTGTATATATATATGCAACAGTACAAACAAGGTCAAGGGGTGAGCAAGTGAGGCAAGGTAGGCACAAGGCCCAGCTGAGTACAGAAACGCTGATGATCACAAGGCGCAAGTGCCTTGGTGAAGATATCAGCAGTGTTGGCCTCAGAGGCCACGTACGCAAGTCGCAGCTGACCACCCTGCTGTAGCTCACGAGCAAGGAAGTAGCGGAGAGCAATGTGCTTCGTTCTGTGCTCCAATCTCTGCTCTCGACACAAGGCCAGCATGGCCTTGTTGTCTACGTACAGCACTGGAGGAGAACGAGGCGGCTCTCCGAGGTCAGTCAGCAGGTAGGTGAGCCAGCGAAGCTCCTGTGCAGCCATGGCCCCAGCGTAGATCTCAGCCTCACAACTGGAGCCGAGAACAGAAGACGAGCGGGTAGCCCGCCACGAAACAGAACCGGAACCAAGGCTGAAGGTGTAACCTTGTGACGACCGCTGCGTAGCCTGGTCGTCAGCCCAAGAAGCGTCTGCGTGCCCAGTGAGGACCACTGGACTCTGCCCTCCAAGCACAAGCCCCATGCCCGACGTACTGCACAAGTAGCGCAACACCCTCTTCGCTGCAGCCATGTGCTCCGGTCTGTGTCTCCCAGGAGCAACATAGCGTGCGAGAATGCTAAGAGGGTATGCAAGGCCAGGTCGTGTGCAGGTCATCAGGTACATGAGGCAGCCAACAAGCTCTGGGTACGGGCCACTCGACTCTACGGACTCATCCGAAGGCAGAGCTGAGAGCGAGTGGCGAGTAGGCAGAGGAGTGGCCTGAGGCGAGGAGTACGTGAAGCCGAAGCGCTGAAGGACCTGCTGCACCATGTGTGACTGAGTCAGGGTAATGGTGCGGCGTGCTCTGTCCCGGGTGATCTGCAAGCCAAGGTAGCTGCGCAGTTCACCCAGGTCTGTGCACGTGTGTCTCTTCTGCAGCTCGGACTTCACGTGGGCGAGTCCAGCAGTGTCAGCTGTGGCAAAGACCAAGTCGTCGACGTACACGAGGATGTAGAACGGCGGCAAAGAAGTGTCGGTGCGCAGAAACAGCGACGGGTCGGCAGTAGAGGGAGCAAACCCAAGAGCCGCAAGTGTAGTCCTCAGTGTGTCGTGCCACTCACGCGGTGCCTGGCGGAGACCGTAGACTGGCCGCCGGAGGCTCCACTGGGTGCCAGGAGGAAAAGACCCAGTGAAGCCAGGTGGGCGACGCAGCCAGATCTCCTCGTGCAGGCTACCCTGCAAGAAAGCAGTGCTGAAGTCAAGAGAGTGCAGCTCGTAGTCGCGGTGAGCAGCTACGTGCAGCAGTACCCGAAGAGTGGTCATCTTCGGGGTGGGAGAGAAGGTCTGAAAGTAGTCAACTCCCTGCCGCTAACTAAAGCCACGAGCCACGTAACGCGCCTTGAAGACAGGCGGAGAACCCGGCGGCCGCTTCACCCTGAAAATCCACATGCCACTGACGATGTTCGCCCCAGGCGGGGGAACCTCGTCGACGTAGGTGCCTGTGGACTTCCAGGAAGCCATCTCTGCGTCCATAGCTGCCTGCCACTGAGAGGAGTAGGGACCCTCTATCGCCTCCGCGTAAGAGCGCGGAGTCGGGATGTCAAGTGCATCCGGGTCTCCCTCAGGGGTAAGCAGTACGGACACGAGATGAGGTGAAGCAGCAGCCAAACACTGGAACTCCTCCTGCCTGTCCTCAAGGACGTCCGTGCCAAGGGCACACTCACCCCCGACGGACGGAGGACAGACAGACTCAGCAACAAGACTAGCAGCGTAGTCTAGACGACAGCGAGCAGCAAAGTCGACGAGCTCAGTAACTAGGGCAGACGCAGCAGTGGACTCAAAGGAAGGGTCAGTGACAACAGTAGCAAGGAGACGTGTGACAGTAGGACTAGCAGCACGAAGAGAGTCCGACTCCGGGTCAGGAAGAGCAGGAAGAGAGGACTCAGTAGGAGAAGGCAAAGGGGCACGCAGAGGAGCAGTGGACGGACGCAGAGACATCCGGTGCGTGCCAGGGACAGGAGGAGGACGCTGACGCGAACCACGACCACTAGTGCGAGCAGCACGGACAGGCGACGCAGGGCGGGATGCAGGCTCACGACGCGCAGCAAGACCTCCAGTAGGACCAGTGTAGGGAGAGGGAGCGGGCAGTGGGGAGGCCGGCTGTAACTGGAACTGTGACGGGACAGGCTGTGGACACTCTAAGGGAGGAGGAGGACCAGTAGAAGGCAGGAGACCAAGAACCTGCTGAAGGAGCGGAACGAAGTACGGCCGAGGCCGCGCGGCGACTCCAGACACAGCAGGGACAGCACCAGTACCCCCAGCGGCAGCACCAGCGCCAGCAGCACCTCCAGCTCCAGGACCTCCAGCCGCACCAGTAGTACCCCCAGCAGGACCGCCTCCAGGACCGACAGCAGTAGCCTCAGCGCCAACACCCTCAGCAGCTCCAGCTCCAGTCGTACCCGCAGGCCCAGCAGCTCCAGTACTCCTAGTACGAGCACCTCCGGGACCCACGGCACCAGCACCCTCAGCAGCCGAAGAACCTCCAGCTCCAGCAGCACGCCTCCAGCGCCGGGCAAACCACTCGCGCAGCTCCTGTGGAGAGAGTGGCTCCCGCCGAGACGAAGCACCCGGAGAACCTCCAGGCTCAGCACCGCCAGACGCCACACGAGCAGGCCCAGCTCCCTCAGGCTCCGCACCCCCAGGCTCAGCACCCCTAGGCTCAGCACCCCCAGTAGTAGCACCCCCAGGCTCAGCACCCCCAGGCTCAGGACCCCCAGTAGTAGCACCCTCCGGCTCAGCACCCCCAGGCGTAGCACCCACACGCTCAGCACCCCCAGAGTCAGCACCCCCAGGCTCAGCACCCTCAGCAGCACCAGAGTCACCAGTAACCTCGACAGGCTCGACTGCGTCTACCTGGGACACACCTGAAGGGGCAGGACCCTGAGGGGGGAGGGGGTCTACCGAGGGGGGACCTGGTACAAGGAAGAGCGGTGGCGGGGGGAGGGACGGAGTGCGGTAGGGGAAGAGGCGGTAGTAGGGGACCGACTCGTCAAACGTGACGTCCTGGGAGGACAGAACACGGCGAGAGGTGGGGTGGTAGAACTGCCACCCTGGTGCGTCAGGGGGGAAGCCAAGGAAGACGCAAGGAGCAGCACGAGGGGACAGCTTGTCCGCAGACAAGTCGCGGACAAACGCCCGAGATCCCCAGACACGGAACGCAGACGCATCGCCAACCTTCCCCGTCCACAGCAAGGCTGGGGAGGTCTCCGGCATGGAGACCCTGGGGTGAAGGTTGATCTGATGCGCCGCGTACCG